TCCCCTCCCTCTTCCCCTCCCTCTCGCCCTCTCCCTCTCCTTCTCCCTCTCCCTTCTTTTCTTTCTGTTTATTTCTCCCAATACAGTATCCAATCAGCGCCTCCCAGGACAAAAAGGCAGGTTTGCAGACCGTAAGGCCACTTTTATATTTTGAGTCAAGGGGACACAATGGCCTTAGGTCTTAACTTTTCTGAAATCAAATGTCCTACCTACTTCTCCCCTGCCCCCAAAGCTCTTATGAAATGGATGGTCAGCTAGTACATGCTCCCCAGAAAAGCCCTTTTTGTCATGCCCTTCGTCCTGGGGAGGCTGCTGGGAGTAGGAGTCCTCCCCATCTCAGCTGCGAATAAGCCACAAAGACATTCCACGCGCTACCCGATAACCCAGTTCCAGTCCACAGCAGTCACTGGAGATTTATCAGATGCAAAACCCCGCGGCGTATATGGAGCTGAATAATTGAATTCAACCAAAGCATATTGCGGCTGACATGGAGCCAGCACTAAGGTTACAGAGGAGAAACCGCGGCCCCTACTTTGAGGAGCTCGGTTTGTCAGGGAGACAGTCTACAGACAATTCTAGAACAGTCATGATTAGCACTGCAGTGGAAGCTCAGAGGAGGAAACCAGAATTCTGTGTGGAAAATGGAACTTGGAGTTCCTTACAGAGCACGTGGTAGCTTTCAAACCTTTGCTTTGTTTTACAGTTAAGTAATACATGTTTGTACTTGAAATTTTCATTGAGATAATTGTAGATGCACATGCAGTGATAGAAATTGTGCGTATACTTTTCCCAGTTTCCACCAATGGTAATATTTTAGAGAACTGTATTATAATATCACAACTAAGATATTGATATTGATACAGTCCACTGATATTACTCAGATTCCCCTGGTTTCACTTGTACTTGTGTGTGTGTGTGTGTGTGTGTGTGTGTGTGTGTGTGTGTGTGTGAGAAGTCCTATACAACATTATCACCTGTATAGACTCATCTATCTACCACCACAGCCAAGATACTGAATAGTCCCATCACCACAGGGACTTCCTGTTGCCCTTTTATACACACTCATCTCCCTCCCACCTCTGTCCCTGAACCCTGCAACCATTCATTTGTTCTACATTTCTAAAACTTTCTCATTTCAAAAATGTTATATAAATGGAATCACACAGTATGTAACCTTTTGGGATTGGCTTTTTTCACTCAGCATAATTTTCTAGAGGTTCATTCAGGTTGTTTTGTGTATCAATAATTCATTTCTATTTATTGCTAAGTAGTATTCCATGGTGTGGGCATACTACATGTTATGGAATTCCATAGTATTTACCCATTCATCTGTTGAAGAACAGCTCTACTGATTCTCATTTTAGGCTATTACAAATAAAGCTGCTTTGAACATTCATGTACAGACTTTCATGTGGACATACGTTTTCATTTCTCTGGGATGAATGCCCAGGAGTGCAATCGCTGAGTGTCATGGTAGTCACATGTTTAATTTTAAAAGAAAGTAACAAACTTCCCAGAGTGCCTGTACCATTCTCCAGTCCCACCAGCAATATATGAGTGGCCCAGTTTCTATGTGTCTTCTTCAGCATTTGATATTGTCATTCTTTTTGATTTGTAGCCATTCAGATGTGTGTGTGTGTGTGTGGTGATATGTCATTGTGGCCTTAATTTGAATTTCCC